CACAGTAAGATAAGCAAAATGAGAAGATAGAAAAACACACAGCAGATGAAGGAGCAAGATAAAAACCCACCAGACCTAACAAATGAAGAGGAAAGAGGCAGTCTACCTGAAAAAGAATTTAGAATAATGATAGTACAGATGATCCAAAATCTTGGAAATAGAATAGACAAAATGCAAGAAACATTTAACAAGAACCTAGAAGAACTAAAGATGAAACAAGCAATGATGAACAACACAATAAATGAAATTAAAAATACTCTAGATTGGACCTAGGGATTGTCATACTGATTGAAGTAAGTCAGACAGAGAAAGACAAATATCATATGATATCACTTATATGTGGAATCTAAAGAAATGGTGCAAATGGACCTATTTACAAAACAGAAGTTGAGTCACAGATGTAGAAAACAAACTTGTGGTTACCAGGGGGAAATAGTGGGAGAGGGATAAATTGGAAGATTGGGATTGACATATACACACTACTATATATAGAATAGATAACTAATAAGAACCTACTGAATAGCACAGGGAACTCTATTCAATACTCTGTAATGAACAGTATGGGAAAAGAATCTTAAAAAGTGGATATATGTGTATGTATAACTGAGTCACATTGCTGTACAGCAGAAACTAACACAACATTGTAAATCAACTATACTCCAATAAAAAATTTAATTAAAAAACATACAATGAGATATCCCCTCAGACCTGTCAGAATGGCTGTCATCAAAAAGACAACAAATAACAAATGTTGGTGAGGATGTGGAGAAAAGGCAACCCTAGTGCGCTGTTGGTGGCAATGTAAATTGGTACAGCCATTATGGAGAACAATATAGAAGTTCCTTAAAAAATTAAAAATAAAACTACTATATGATCCAGCAACTCCACTCCTGGGTATATATCCAAAGGAAACAAAAACAACAATTGAAAAAGATATATGCACCCCAGTGTTCATTGCAGTATTGTCCAAAATTGGTAAGGTATGGAAGCAACCTGAGTGTCCATCAACAGATGAATAGATAAAGAAGATGTGGCATATACATACATTGGAATATTACTCAGCCATAAAAAAGAATGAAACTTTGCCATTTGCAACAATGATATGGATGGGCCTTGAGGGTATTATGCTTAGAGAAATGTCAGACAGAGAAAGAAAGATACTGTCTATTTTCAATTATATGTGGAATCTAAAAAATAAAACAAATGAATATAACAAAAAACAGAAAGAAACTCAAAGATTCAGAGAACAAACCAGTCGTTAACAGTGGGGAAAGGGTGGATGGAGAGGCAAGGTAGGAGAAAGGGGATTAAGAGGTACAAACTACTATATATAAAATGATAAGCAACAAAGATATATTGTACAGCACAGAGAAGTATAGCCATTATTTTATAACTTTATATTCAGCGTAATCTATAAAAATATTGAATCACTATGTTGTATACCTGAAACTAACATAATATTGGAAGTAAATCAACCATACTTCAAAAAAAATGTATGTAAAGAAATCACAAGACAATTGTATTTTAATAGTGGCGATGGTAAATGAACCTCGGTGGAACTAAGATTACTACAGTTCATTGGAAGTGGTAAAATGTTGATAACAGTAGACTGTGATAAGTTATGTATATATGCAACACTTTTAGCAACCACTATGTGAACCAAGCAGAACAATATATTCAAAAATGCCACAAATAAACTATGATGGAATCCTAAAAATTGTTCATGTAACTGACAGAAAAGAGTATTGGGAAACAGAAGAAACAAACAGAAAACAAATAATAAAATGGCATATTTAAGCCCTAACATAATAATTATTTCAAATGTTAACTATCAAAATATACCAATTAAAAGACAATCAGAGTGGATAAAATAAAAAGATCCAACAATGCTGCCATAAGAAATTCACTTAAATCAATGACAGGTTGAAAGTAAAAAGATGAAAAAAGGTACATTAATCAAAAAAGAAGTGGTTATACTGATATCAAAGTAGACTTCAGAGCAAAGGGAACCAATTTTACACAATCTTTTTAAGAATATAGAAGAGGAGAGACTACTTTCCAACTCATTTTATGAGGTCCATATTACCCTGATACCAAAACTATGCAAAGATAATACAAAAGCAAAAGCCCCAGCTCAGTATCTCTCATGAGTTTAGATGCAGAAGATCTGGACAAAATATTAGCAAATTAATATAGGAATGTATAAAAATTATACATTCCATATATAGTGCATGACCAAGTGGGATTTATTCCAAGTGGAGAAGGCTGATTCAACATAGCAAAAAATCAATTAATATAATCTACCATATCAAGGGGCTAAGGAAGAAAACATAAAATGATCACATCAATTGACACAGAAAAAGCCTTTGAAAAAAATCCAACACACATTTATGATTTTTAAAAAATATCTCAGCGAACTAGGATTAGAGAGGAAATTCCTCAACTTGAGTAAGAGATACTATAAAAACTCTACAGCTAACATCATACTTAATAGTGAAATATTGAAATTTATCCTATTAAGACAGGGAATAAGGCAAGGATATCCACTTTTCCCACTCTTAGTCAACACAGTATTAGAATTCCTAGCCACTGCAATAAGGCAAGGGAAAAAAGCATACAGATTAGAAAGGGAAAAATGAAACTGTCCCTACCTGTAGATGATATGACTGTCTACATAGAAAATCCCAAGGAGTCTTTAAAAAATATTCCTGGAACCGATAAATGAATTCAGCAAGGTCACAGGCTACAATATCAACACATAAAAATCAATAATATTTCAATATACTAAGAATCAACTGGTGGAAAATAAAATTAAGAACATAATGCCATTTATAATAATCCCTAAGAAAATTAAATGCAAAGATATCAAATTTTTAAATGTATAGGGTCTGTATCTTATATATAGAAATTTCTAAATAATACACAAAAATATTCTTAGAGATAATAAATTCAGCAAATTTTTAGGGTACAAGATCAACATACAAGTATCCATTGTATTTCTACAAACTAGCAATGAACAAGCCCAAATGAAATTAAGAAAACAATTCCATTTGCAATATCATCAGAAAGAATAAAATAATTAAGAAATATTTAACCAAGGATGTGTAAGACTTGTACAGTGAAAATTACAAAACATTGTGAAAAGTGGTTAAAGAACACCTAAAAAATCAGGCAACACCCTGTGTTCATGGATTTAAAGATTTAATATTGTTAAGAAGGCAGTACTCTCCAGAGTGATCTACAGATTCAATGTAATCTTATCAAAATCACAATGGCCTTTATTTTCCCCAAGAAATGAAACAGCTGATCCTAAGATTCATTTGGAACTACAAGGGACAGCAAATAGCCAAAATAATCTTGAAAAATAACACAGAGGACTCACACACCCCAACTTCAAAACTTAATAGAAAGCTACAGTAATTAAAGCAGTGTGATATTGGCAAAAGCACAGATGTATAGACCAGTGGAATAGAATTGAGAGTCCGGAAATAAACCTATACATCTAAGGTCATTTGGTTTTTTACAAGGGTGTCAAAGTCATTCACTGAGGGAAAGAATAGTCTCTTCAACAAGTGGTGCAGAGTGACAAAATATCCACATGGAAAAGCTTGAAGTTGGAACTCTTCTTCACACAAAACACAAAAATGAATTTGAAATGAATACAAAACCTAAAGGTAAGAGCAAAAGGTATAAAAACTCTTAGAAGAAAGCATAAAAGTAAATTTTTATGACCTTGGATTTGACAGTGGATTCTTGGGCATTACAATAAATTCATAAGCAACAAAAGAAAAAAACAGATAGATTGGATTACATCAAAGTTAAATACTTTTGTGCCGCAGTAGACACCATCAAGAAAGTGAAAGGCAACCTACAGATGGGAGAAAATACTTGTAAATCACTTATTTGATAGGGGTCTAGTATCTCCATACATAAGAACCCCTACAAGTGAACCACAAAAAGATAAATAACCCAATTTAAAAATGGGCAAAAGGCTTGAATAAACATTTCTCCAAAAAAGATATACAAATGGCCAACAAGCGTATGAAAATATGTTCAACATTAGTCACTAGGAAAATGCAAATCAAACCACAATGAGGTACCATTCAGACCCAGTAGGATGGTATAGTTTAAACAAAACAACACAAAACAACAAGTGTTGGGGAGGATGTGGAGAACTGGCAACCTTCGTACATTGTTTGTAGAAATGTAAAATGGTGTAGACAACAGTTTGGCAGCTCCTCAGACAGTTAGTCATAGAATTACCATGTGTCCTAACAATTCCACTCCTATGTATATACCCCAAAGAATAGAAAACAGGTATACAAATGAAAGCTTATACACAAGTGTTCTTGACAGCACTAGTTACAATAGCCAAGAGGTGGAGACAACCCTATGTCTATCAGTGGATGAACAGATAATAGAAACAAACATAGCCACACAATGGAATATCATTCAGTCATAAAAAAAAACAAAGTGCTGCTGTATGCTACAACAGAGAAGACCCTTAAAAACATGATGCTAAGTGAAAGAAGTCAGACACCAAAGGTCACACACTGTAATTCCATTTATATGAAATATCCATAGGTAAATAGGTAAATCCATAGAGATGGAAAGCAGATTAGTGCTTGCCAGGGTCTAGGGAGGGGAAGTGGGTTGTGACTGCTTAATAGTTGTGAAGTTTCCTTTTGAGATGATAAGAATGTCTTGGACCTAGGTAGAGATAAGGCCTGCAAAGTCTTGTGAATCTAGTAAATGCCACTGTATTGTACACTTTAACATGGTTCATTTTATGTTATGTGAATTTCACCTCGATTTAAAAAAAAAGTGGTATGGAGAACAGTATGGAGGTGCCTTCAAAAACTAAAAACAGAACTACCATATGACCCAGCAATCCCACTGCTGGGCATATACCCTGAGAAAACCAAAATTCAAAAAGAGTCATGTACCCCAATGTTCATTGCAGCTCTCTTTACAATAGCCAGGAGATGGAAGCAACCTAAGTGTCCATCGACAGATGAATGGATAAAGATGTGGCACATATATACAATGGAATATTACTCAGCCATAAAAAGAAATGAAATTGGGTTATTTGTAGTGAGGTGGATGGACCTAGAGTCTGTCATACAGAGTGAAGTAAGTCAGAAAGAGAAAAACAAATACCGAATGCTAACACATATATATGGAGTCTAAAAAAAAAAGGTTCTGAAGAACCTAGGGGCAGAACAGGAATAAAGACGCAGACGTAGAGAATGGACTTGAGGACGTGGGGAGGGGTAAGGGTAATCTGGGATGAAGTGAGAGAGTGGCATGGACTTATAAATACTACCAAATGTAAAATAGATAGCTAGTGGGAAGTAGCTGCATAGCACAGGGAGATCAGCTCGGTGCCTTGTGACC